GTTAATGCTTTGGGTTTGGAGAGTAAAATTGCCTCGGCCTTAATATTCGCCGGACAAGTCGCCGTTTGCCTTTTTTCCATTCCGTATTTCCAAAAATAAAGAAAACCTTAACGGATCGAGATACTGATAGCACTAAGGACTATGCCAAAAATCGTATTTGAGAAGCGTTCCGACGATTGAAATAGTTTTGGCTTAAGTGCATAATTCCGAATGAGGGATAATTCGAAATATGCTAAAGTTTCCGTTATTTTTTGAATACACCTTTTATGCTATTTACTCTACAATATACAGGGTAGGCCATATAAAATTTTAATTTTAAAAACCCGATAAAAAAACGACTTCATATTTTTCAAAGGTCTAACATTTATTTAAAAGGTTGTTTTATGAAATTTATTTGTTTAAAACAATTTCGGACAAATGACCACCACGGCTGAGTTTACAGTAGATTACCCGTTTCACCCAAATTTGGAGTACTTTCTCGATGGTTTCAGGCTTTATGGCAGCTACGGCAGCTTGAATCTCATACTTTAGATCTTGAATGGTTTCTGGATGGTTGGCGTAACATTTTTCTTTAGCAGCTTCTCACAGAAAATAGTCCAACGGAGTTAAATCGCAGCTTCTGGGAGGCCAATTTACAGCAGCTCTTTTGCTGATTATGCGATTTTCGAAGATAGGGCCTAAAAGATTGAGTGTAGCGTTTGCTGTATGGCACGTAGCGCCGTCTTGCTGGAACCAAATGTTGTCGAAGCCTTTCTTTTCAATTTGCTTGAAGAAAAATTCGGTTAACATTACGCGATATCGCTCACCATTGATGGTTACGGGTATCCGATGATTCCACCAGACCAAAATCCGCACCATACAGTGATTTGTGCTGGGTGCATTGGTTTCTCGACGATTACGTGCGGGTATTCTGTGCCCCAAAAGCAACAATTTTGCTGTAAACGTAATGCTAACGTAACCATCAAGGTGGAAATGAGCCTCGTCGAAAAGATAATTTTTCGGTAAAATTGACCATCCTCGGTTTGGGTTGAAGACTCACCACTTTGGTAAAAAGTTTTCAATATTTCCCAGTTTTCTTCTAGTGAATAGCGACCCATTTCGTAAATTTTAGACTTTTTGCTTTTTGTATCTGTCACTTTCCGAATGGTATTTGACGTTTCCAATGTCGAATTATAGATAATTCAAATTTAAAGTTGCAGAGATATATCATCAATTGTTATAGCATATAAAGCCAGGTTGCTAGTTATTTGGCACTCTTTTAGAACGGCAAACTAGAAAAGAAATATATCACTAAATAGAATTACGAAAATAGTCTAAATCTGAACAATGTATCTCAGAAGTTATGACGTCAGAAAGAAAAAAAATTACCAATTTCATGGAATTTAGTTGAAAAGTTATCTTCATATCGCTCATAGCGTCACTTTAAGTAAAAATTAATAGGGAATGACTAATTAGGGCACACCCGAATTATGAATCCCTTTATCTTAAATCCAACTGACTAACGGAAATCAGTATAATAGGTCAATAGGCCTGACACGTAGATGGAATTATATCAATATGGTTTTTAGTTAGCATTGAAGGAGCTTGTGCAAAAATGATGAAAAAATTTCGCCTGTTGATATAATATTGCTGTTTGAAGTGGAAAAGTGCTGTTGAAGCGAAAACTTGGCTTGTCGACGATCCTGCCCAGAAAAATCAATAATCAGACTAGCGAAATGAGCATCGAAGATGGTGAACGCAGTGAACGCACAAAAGAGATTGTTACTGAAGAAAACGTCAAAACAGTACACAAAATATTTCTGGATGACCATAAAGTGAAGTTGTTCAAAATACCGGGCACTCCAAAGATATTAACTGAATGCGTACAGCATATCATTCACGAATGTTTGGGTATGAGAAAGCTCTATGTAAAATGGATGTTGCGCGAGCTCACTTTTAACCGAAACGAGTTAACGACGAGATTTTATTTTTACGATGAACCCGCTTCAAAGCGCGGAATAGGTCGGCAGGTTATTGTGTCTGTATTTTGGGATATGCATGGAATTATTCTTATTAACTACCTCGAAAAACGAAGGACCATCAACTGCGATTATTACATAGCATTATTGGACAATATCAAAAGAAAAAGGAAGTGCTGTTTCACCGAAATATTTCAGAAGTCAGTGAAAACGATGGCAAAATCTATCAATTGGGCTTGGTAGTACTCCTTCATGCATTGTAGAGTCGCTATGAAGAGAAATAAAAACAACAAAAATATTTGTTTTACTATGGTAGGCCGAGCACTTTTAAATTGAATTGTTATTCATAGCATCATATATCTATTATAACGGATTTCTCAATAAATCGTCTATATTGAAACACTATCTAAAGTTCTACGTAGGCTGCTTTATATATTTCTGGCCACTAAGTGTTGCCAGGTGCAATCTGACATTTCCATTGGAAAGTTTGACATTTTTTAGCATGACATCACTCAGAACGTTTCGTCCTTTAGTGGTGAATTGTTTTATTTACAGGGAATTAAAAAATTCATCTCGGCCAAAAAATGGAAATAACTCGTGAACATTTTCGTGCGATCATTTTTCACAACTTTCGACGTGGATTATCACGACAAGAGTGCATCGATGAACTAAAATCTTTTTATGACTATGAAGCACCATCCTATATCACCGACGCTCGCTCAAAGACGAATTCCGTGAAGGTCGTCCAAAAACAGAAAACCGTTGTGCCAGAAAACATCGATGGCGTACGTGAACTGATAATGCAAGAGCGTCATGTAACATACCTTCAGATAGAGGCATGGCTATGCATTTCTCCCACCAGCATACATTCGACATTGCATGAACACCTGGCCGTAAAAAAGGTTTGTTCTCGTTGGATTCCGCACAATTTGACAATCGCTCAAAAAAATGCTCGTGTAGATTGGTGTAAAGAAATGCTGAAAGAATACGATTGCGGTGCTTCAAAAGACGTTTATAAGATCGTCACAGATGACGAATCATGGATCTATGCGTATGAGCCCGAAAGAAAACAGCAATCGACCGTGTGTGTCTTCCAAGACGAGCCAAATTCAATGAAGTTGTTCGTGGAAGAAGCACTTCGAAGCAAATGGTCGCCTGTTTCTTCGACAAAACTGGTCATGTGGCGACTGTTCCGCTTGAGCAACGTAGGACGGTCAATTCTGAGTGGTACACCACCATTTGTTTGACTGAAATCTTCGGAGAAATTCGAAAAACGAACAAGAGAAGACGAATCATTGTGCACAATGACAAGTCGAGCTCTCACACATCGGCTCAAACTAGCGCCTTTTTGGCCGGCCAAAACTTCGAATTGATGGGTCATCCGCCGTACAGCCCTGATTTGGCACCCAATGACTTCTTTTTATTCCCACACATCAAGAAAATAATGCGTGGTAAACGATTTTCGTCGCCAGAAGATGCTGTTGAAGCATTCAAAAACCATGTTTTGGAGGTGTCTCAATCGGAGTGGAAAAAGTGCTTCGAAAATYGGTTTGAGCGCATGCAAAAGTGTATAAATTTTGATGGAGAATATTTTGAAAAACAATAACACCATTCATTATTAGGCCAGAAATATATATAGCAGGCCTCGTATCACTGAATTGCCAAATAAAAGTCACAAGTTAATGACTACACTTATCTTTATTTCTAATTCAAATAACTTAACGCTTTATCACTCATTATCGAAGGTTATAACTTTTTATATACATACATACATATATCTCATTTACCTTTTACACGGCAGAACTCTAACTAGAACTACATATACATATCTGCCGTCAATCCGGCAACCTTTATGTAGTATATCGTTAACAAAACTTCGGTGCACGAGAATTCTGGTTACAAAAACTTGTACTGTCTTGCTCGTTTGTATACTTTGTCTGTTAGTAGCATAACAAATTTATAAAAGGGACTTAAATTTCTCTAAATATTTTGCTGAAATTCTTAACTTAGCTCGCCAACTCCCCATATGGTAGGGTAGTTTCCTACATATATAAGTCTGTCTATGTATTTTAAAGTTAAAATGTATGTGAATGATTGTATATAGCACATAACTTCCCTTGTATGATTGTAGTTAAAGGTTGCGCATACTAAATATTTCCTTTGTTATTTGCATATTCTTCATTCAAGAGAAATAAGAAAATCACAGTTCGTGCGGAAACTAAACTAGCTATCTACGCAGCACTATACAGCTACTGCAATATATTTAGTCTACTTATATCAGTGGATCACCAGTACTCTCGTAACGGGAATTAATTATTAGAAAGTTTTGTGTATTCCAACATCATAATATACTTTTCATACGTTTTGTATTTACAATGGGTAATTTACCAAATACAGTTTTTCAAAAATTTCGTACCTTTCCAGTAGTTCGAGGTTTCATAAACTAAACAAACTCCCCAGGAATTAAGAGCTTCCTTGGATCCTCTTGTCAAATGCAGTTACATATTTTTCTCTTCAGCTTCACCCAAGCTTTAATACTCGTTCAAGATAATGTTATAATAATAAGTACACATACATATCGCTCATTTACTTGCAAAAAAATGTGCTCAATATCATGGTTAA